GAGTTAACCAAAAATTTTGAAAAATGTTTTTGAAAAGTGCATCAGTCATGTTTATTTTAAAAGTTATTGTTTCAAAGTTATAAAGTTAAATATTTAATTTTTATTTTTATTTGTAGTTTGGTTTACAAAATATTTATTTTACGTACTAGCAATAAAATAATCGTAAAATTAGTAGAAAAGTTAAAACTGTTTATCATTTTATGGAAGACGTTAGTCATCTAATAGGGATATTTAATCTTTGCGAGATGTCGCGCCGAAGTTACCCTAGGGGCGATAAAGGTTGGCAAGACTGGGGATGCCATGCGGGCGATTTGCAATAATACGGTGTGTAACAACCAGTAGGTAATAGAGCCGAAGTAATATAAAATAAAAATATACGCTACACCCCTGTTGTAGATATTAAACCAAATCCCTACAATTTTATTGTTTTCTTACTACTAATACTAGAAGTAGCGTCGTTTTCGTTCCTAGTGGAGTGTGAGATTTTTAATTTTTTTTTGTAACAATTTATATTGATTTATTACAATACAATAAATAAATAACAATGATTCGACAAGTAAGTTAAAAAAACATATAAGAAATAAAATTTACTAAATTATGAATGTTAAATTACCTATCATTTTTTTTAGGTTATACCACGTGTAATTAAAAATGTTTCGGCAATTAAAAGTATGCGGATGTGTACTGCTACCGAGAATGCAAAGATGGAAAAGTGTAAGTAAAAATAACTTTATATGTTAACAATCTTTTAAATGGAAATTATATTAAGTTTGTATCACATTTCTAATCTGCCTTTGTAAGTTAAAAATTGATTTAAGCCTACTACTTCTGACATTATTTGTTTTAAATTTAAATAAAACATATTAATATGTTTTTTATGTTGTTCTTTATATTAACATGTTATGTTGTTCATTTTGTTTTAAATGTAAAACATATTAATGATAATCCTAATACATTTTTGTATTAATATTAAATTGAATAAATCTAAGAAGCAAATTATTGGTGTTTAATGCAAAGTGAATTTCAGGGGAAATTATTTTTAAGAAAAATTAGGATTTTTTTTACTGTAAATATATTTTGTCACTTGCATAATATTCTATTAGTTTTACTGTAATTTGTGAACTACAGAAATATGCACCAATATAATTTGTGACTAAGTAAATACAATTATCACTCATGTCACCTGAATTTGAATAACTCTTTACTCTAAATATTAAATATTTATCTTCTATGTACTGTTATTGAGGTTTCTAATATTTACAAACTGAGAAATCAGATATATACATCCATAAAGAAATAGCACCTTGATTCTTAGTCAGGTTTATGCTTTGTGATTTTTTCAATATCAATTTTCTTGAAAATAAAGTCTGGAATAAAAGTCAGTTTTTATTTGGTTTTGCATATGAAATTACACTATGCCTAGTTACCATTGTTATGTTCACATTTGGATTATTCCTAAACACATTTTAATATATTTAAAAATAATCGAAATATTTGAAATTATTGCTTCGTTTAAAAATTTTATAGTATATTTGGAAAAGTTAATTGAATATTCAAACATCAAATAAACATAAGTCTGTATTTATATAATTCATATTTGTGGAAAAGAATGTGTACTATGTACAAAGAGCATATAGAATGTATTAAATACATGTAATTTTAATAGGACAGGGTAGTGCAAATTATGAAAAATTCTGACAATATTAGCAGAAATTATTATAAATTTATATTATTTTGCTTTTACTTATTTAAATAATCAGCTGATTAAAAATACATATGTTATTCATGATTGTAAATCTTTAATGTAGGTATTAACAAGAGCATATACATATTTATATGTAATTTGTGCTTGGAATTATATCAAGTAAATGATATATAGCAGTTATAAAATATGATACAAGATTTAATGTATGTCAAAAGAAACAGAAAACTAAATAAGTATAACTTTGAAAATTTCTGTTGAAAAAAACTTTAGTTAATTGAATAAATTAATGGTTTACAGCAATAAATAAAGTTACTCTATTAGGAAGAGTAGGAGGTGAACCACAGAAGAGGGGTAATGTAGAACACCCTGTTGTTATATTTTCTCTTGCCACACATAGTAACTACAAATACATGAATGGTATGTAATGTTAATTAATTTTGAAGTTTATAAGCTAATTAACTTTAAGTTGTGGGTATTTAAGAGTTTTTTAAGTATTAAAAGTGAACAAATAAATATTTTCAGTTTTCAAATTTTTCATAAAAAATTATTTTTTATACTTAAATTTTTGGTAGCACTGTGATGTATTTGAATTTTCAAAATGTAAATATACTTAAACTATAATTCAAACAAATTTCTCTTAATTTAAAACAAATTCAGGAGATTTCGTGCAACGAACAGAGTGGCATAAGGTATGCGTATTTAAGCCAAATTTGCGCGATAGCGTTCAAACTTATTTAAAGAAAGGTCAAAGAGTGTTAGTTTTTGGAAAAATGAGCTATGGAGAATTTAAAGATGAAGAAGGTAATACAAAACCAAGTGCAGCTATAGTAGCAGACGACGTAATATTTTTCCAGCTTTAATAGAGTATAAGAGTTTTTTAGATTATTTTGTAAAATTTCCTTTTTTTAATCAAATATAAAAAAATATGTATAAATAAAATGAATTACCAAAAATATATCTTTTTATTTCTAATAATTTCATAACTCAATTCAGAGACACTGCATGCTTTGCGTATTTATCGACTGAAAAGTTTCAGCGTGTTACAACTACATAATATCTTGCTTACTCTGAAGAGGGATAATAAACTGACGCTCAAAATTAGCTTAATAAGTAAATAAATCTCTATTTACACGTTGCTCGTCCACTTGCAATGAGTTATACAATAAACGATACGTATTTTCCTAAAATTGTACAAGTTTTATTTTATACAGAATCTGTAAAGAGAAATGAAATATAATCTTTCTCGGTACACCGGAAGGGTAGTTTGTAAATGCTAGGAAATAAAAGGGTTCTGGACAAAACATCGGCCATTAAAAATTCTGCCCTTCAAAAATTCTACAGTACATGTGTAATACACGTGTATATGGATATATGTCTAGAGATATGCGACAATCCGAATTAAGATTGTGATCGAGATCGAAACATCGATTTTCGATTCGCACAATGCATTTCATTTTCAAAAATACACTTTTAGTGAATGTAAAATAATCTGTAATCATTTGAAATACGCGTATATAACATAAAAAGACTGAGACACAAGTTTATCATGTACCGATAAATAATTTTAAAACATCATCACGTGTAAACTGTATGGTATACTGACAGATTTTATAATTTTTGTCATAATCCGAATTCTGGTTACCTTTAAGAACACAATTTGTGTATATGTATTTCAATATATTTATCACTAATATAAATTGTTCTCTCATGAAAATTATATACACGAAACGAAAGTTTTCTTATGTATTCGCATTTTTTTTTTTATGATAAAAACTTCACGGAGATCACAGTATACAAATAGCCAAATACAACTTTTGTTCATTTATAAATCTCTTGCTCGGTAATGCACTTTTCATTTTTGCAGACTTATTTGCTTTCCTGTTCTCATTCACTCATTCATGCGCACATATACGTACACTAATTCATTCGCACAACGTTTCCATACTTTCTATCTCATTTTTGTGTATGAGTCTTTTGCAAAAATACGATCATATGACCAGTTTGTAATCGTACACGTGCCTTCGGTCCCTAGTTGCACACTCCTAAAAAAATTTTCTCCCTTTAATGTCTAGGGTCCGTTGGCGAGGAATGTGAGGCACAATCGCATCGACAACGAACGTAGAAATTTCGAATATAAATTTCTCTTCGGTAG